ATATTCTGTTCCTTCTATATATTCCGCTAGGTTTGTGGTTTATTATTATTATTATTATTATTATTATTAAACGTTCGAGAACAGGGTGTTGAGAATATTTGGACCGAAGAAAGATGAAGTGACAGGAGGTTGGAGAAAACTTCATAATGAGGAGCTTAATATCTTGTACTCTTCTCCAAGTATAATTAGAATGATCAACTCAAGGAGGATGAGGTGCGCAGGGCATGTAGCACGAATGGGGGAGACGAGGAATGTATATAGGATATTGGTGGGAAAGCCAAAAGGAAAGAGATCACTGGGAAGACCAAGGCGTAGGTGGGTAGACAATATTAAAATGTATCTTAGAGAGATAGGATGGGATGGTATGGATTGAACTGATCTGGCTCAGGATAGGGAGCAGTGGAGGTCTCTTGTGAACACGGTAATGAACCTTCGGGTTCCATAAAATGCTCGGAAATTCTTGAGTAGCTGCACAATTGGCGGCTCCTCAAGAAGGGCTCAGCTCCATGAGTAAGTAAGTATTATATATGAACTTTCACGATCGAATCACGTAGCGTGAATATATGTTTGTAATATAAGTTTGTGTGACGGTTAATCTCAAGCCGTGAATTATAAACAGGATGCAGTCTTGTAAAAAGAAAATTTTAAACATACTGTAGTGTCATTAATTACATATATGTATATATTTAGTTAATGGTCAATGAAGGTGACTTATGACATTAAAGGACAGCAGTTGCGATTTCGCTCACCAATGCTCGGTATCTGAGTGACGTAAAACCGAAATGTTGTTCCCTGCAACTACGTGGCTCGTCCTGGCGGGCCGCCATGGTAGCCTTGTGCTTCTTTAAGGGGGGAATACCTCTTCAGATTCAAGGGAAATCTACTAGAGAGACCTGCGCAGTGACGAGGTTGGTAATTTGTGCTCTTCACGAAATACGAATAGTATTGCGACATTATTGCTTGGTCAATTGCGAGACAAACACGTTTCCGCGGCAACAAGACACGCACGCAACGATAGAACTGTTATATACAACGTTTTCTATGTGGTCCGTTCGAAGTCTATATAGCCTGACTAGACCACATTAACGCCTACACTTTCACTTTACTCTTACCAGAAGGACGAGCGGGCAAAGCCTGGGAACCTTCTTATAATCGATGCTCTTTCTTTCTTTCTTTCTTTCTTTCTTCTTTCTCTCTCTCTCTCTCTCTCATATAAGACAGTCGGTTTCGCAATGTGACTTTGACTTTGACTTGAGTTGGGAGAGCGAGCGGTGAGTTGTGAGTTGGCAGCTAGCCGGTATTGACGTAAGCACGAGAGCAGAAGAATCACCATTGTTGAGAACCGTAACCGAGCAACGGCTAGTTAAGACTATAACAGACTCAGCGTATGCAATAGTGAATTGTTATGTGTGTAGTTTAGCGATAGCATTGTAGTTCCCTGTAGTTAAAGAGTTATAAGCATTCAATAAACCCAGTTATGAGTCCAAACCCCGTGTCTAATCACTAGGACGTGACAGGATTAAAAGGATCGTATCAAAGAAGATGAGATGGGCGGCCATGTAACACGAATAGGATAGATCAGAAATGCATATGTCGGATGATACTAGCAAAATAGATCTTAACGGAACGGAATGTGAGGATCTGGACTGGTTTCAAGTGGCTCTGGATAAGGCCCATTGGGCGGGGTCTTATGAATGCGCTAATGAACGCTTGGATTCCGTATAAGACATCGAAATTGTAGAACAGCTGAGCGACTGTTAGCTGCTCAAGAAGGACTCTATTTCGTGCATCTGATCAGGCGTATTAAATCGGATATTACAGGTCTTGACAGATGTTTTATTTGTATCCGCTAATTACAACGAGTGCTTCTGTATCTTATCGTTACATGTACTGTAGATCGGTATGTCACAATGAGATATGTTGTACGCGTACTTAATGTCCGCGCAGTAATTATTTATTTATTATATTTTTTTAGGAAACAATAAAAATTGATTTCAGCATTATAACATCTAATAGTCATTGTAAGAATGTTTCTTTCGCTTCTGGTTTACGTCATAAATAGAGGATTTTACGGAATGTGTTTGTTCTGTGTACTTACCAGCCGTTACCATCCGTAGCAACCTTGACAGTGCAGCATAACGTAAGGTAGTGTCATAACCAACAAGAATCTCTATAGTTATATCATAAACGTGAGGCTTTTATAGAGTAGTTGGTCATAAAACGCTTATGAAGGATACTGAGATATAAGCGAGGCACTATGCTACAAGCCGGAAGGTCGCTGGTTCAAGTCCCGATGAGGTTATTGGATTTTTTTCCAATTGACCTAATCCTTCCAGCCGCACTATGGCCCTGGGGTCGACTCAGCCTCTAACAGAAATGAGTACCATGAATAGTCTTGGAATATTCTTGGGGGTAAAGGGCGGCCGGCGCGCTAGGCTAACAGCCTTACCGCCATCTGTGAGCCGATTGTCTAGAATATGTGGGAACCTCAACATCTCACAAACCTATGGGCGTCCACGGCCTGTTACAGCGATAGCTTTACTTTTTTTTTTTTTTTTGCTGAGATATAAGACAAAATAGTCTGTTGAAAGTCAAGTTTCGGAGGAACATATCGCCTCCATCTTCAGTGTTTAAGAGTAAATCAAGCAAGAAACCAATATAAAGTAATGTTATATTTTAGCGTCCTGTTGCACTGATTCATGTCCATGATGTGTATTTATGCTAGCCGTCTTACAGTGCACACAATTTCACCTTTCTCTTCACTTTTACACTACATGTTTCGTCACTAATGTGCCATCTTCAGGTGTGTCTCTATGCACGTCAAACTACTGCACTGCATGCCATGACGTCTCAATCATAAAATGACTAAAATGTGTATTCGTCATGTATAACAATAAATTCTAAATACTAAAAAATTTTCAGGATTCGTCATCCATACGTCGTATCTCAAATACGCGAACCAAGTCAGTCCTCCTCTGTGGGAGGACTCTTCCTACACTCATGTGTGTATTGTGCTCTGTGTTGTGTCTTGCTCCTGTGACTGCGTGCGTTGTACGCTATACACAGTCGGTTGGACTCCTTAGACGGGGATCAGCCCATCGTAAGGCCGCTACCTACACACGGAACAACACAAACACAGATTTAACGCACATAGACATCCTTGCTTCGAGTGAGATTCGAAACCAAATTGGCTGGATCTCCAATATCAGTTATGCTTATCGAGTTTAATGAGTAGCGGCAATATACAGTGCTGGTATATAAAATTGAAACTAATTGCATTGAGATTCTGAAGATGGAATAGCATTTCTTAATAACTAAGATAACATAATGTAGATTTATATTAATAGTAACAAATCTTAACATTCTGTAGTTCTGTATATTTTGTTGATTATAGGATATGTAATAATGAGGAATGATGTGCCTTCTGTAAATATTCTGAGGTATTAAAAAATTTAACTCTTTAATTTTGGTCTGCCTTCTATCGGTTACGGGTAGTGGGGCTCACATAGTTCATTGAGATGAGGAACAGTTACTGACGTAAATACTCTTGTTCTTAATGCGAAAATGGTAAAGCTATCCCTGTAACAGGCCATGGAGACCCATACGGTTGTGAGACGTCGAGGCTCCCACATTTTCTCTAGACAA